ATTGTGGAAACAGGATTATCTCGCGTAGCGTTAGTAGGGTACGAGGCATGGTCCGTAACGAGAGGTCTCCCGCACCTGTCTGTCGATGGCATCCTCGGGTTCAAGTCTTGGTGTATCTCGTAGGTAGTCGTACGAGGATGGGATTGGAGGTGCAGCCTATGGCACTGGCTAGTCTTAAAGCTGGTACTCTCGAGACGGGAAAAGATTGACGCGAGCAAGGCTTCTTGCTTCTTTGGCATTGAGAGCGAGGAAGGGGTGAGGCCTCTTGCATCTGCATCAGTTTTCAATAAGGTCGAGCGCTAAGCGGAATGCTGACGTATTGTACCTTGGGGTTTTCGAACACGAGTTTCTCGTCGAGAACCGAAAGCCCAGTTCACTACGCAGTCATACTAAGTAAGGTGTGTATTGAGCGCTCCTGTGAGGGCCTCGAAGGGGATAAGGAGGGTGAGGACAAGACATTGGATGAGAATGAGTACCTACATACCTTACTACCTTGGTAAGATGCCTTTTGATGTTCTTACTTCCTGCCGTTTGACAAGGCGCGAGCAGTATTGGCAGGAACCCAAGCTTTTCAAGTGCTGACGAACCCAAGGTTGGTACCTTCCTACCGTACGCGCCTACCTTACCTTACCTTACCTTACCTTACTTGCTTCCCTTGATCTGGCGGGGTAGGAAAGAGAGGGGAAGCGTGAGGTGCTTGCCTATCTGTAAGGTAGGTTTCCGTAGGTAGGCTACCTAACCTTAAGGTACCTTACTGTGTAGGTACCTTAGGTCGGTAGTCAAAGTTACACCACCCCCCCCCCCCCCACGTTCCTCCCCAATACGATTATCAGGACAAAGGAAAGAGCCATGGTTTCGCGATTGATCCGATGTACCTTACCTACGAGCACTTCTAAGGTAGGCCAGATTCACCAAGGGAAGAGCATAGGCCGACGAAGACAATAGCAACGCCTTTCGATTTCTGAATTATTGCCCCCGGCGCTCAAGTTGTCACGACCCAGCCCGAGAGAAAAGCTACCGGCCAGACAAGGTCTTACAGACGGCGAGCTGCAGGTGCGGAAGCCTCCCCGGCGTCAAGGGAACAACATGTACCTCGAGGTACTTGGTGCTCGGTACGGGAGCACCCCTAGGCTCAAATCCCCAAAGTCCTACGCCAAAAGTCCTGCATGGCGATCCTGCTGTGTAGGTCCAGTCAGACTCATCCCTTCCATTGAATCCCGGCCCTGAGGTGCCTTGCTTGCCTGCCTGCCTGCCTGCTTCTCTAATCGCAACTAGGCCTTCAGCGATAATTCTCAGGGTTCGGAGAGCTCACATCCAGAGACACACTCCCTCAGTGCTCGTCATCATAGGTTCCATGGCATTATGGTCCTTGGGCGTTGATAGTGGCCGTGTTCCTCTACGGATGCAGAGAAGGCGAGGTGTGATCCATGACGCTTCTACAAAGTCCTTGACTGACTTTACCTCCAGGCATCCGATAGCTCCCGCCTGAAGCCCTGGAGTTCCTGTGAAAGGGCTCTGCCAAATATGAACAGAGGTTGCCGGATTTCTGGGTCACAACTCCCCGCAGCAAGGTACCGTCGCAGACCGACGATTAAGTCCATACCTTGTCTTAGTTGTGCCGTTTCCCATCACTTGGCAGAATCGCAACTACGCATCGGGAATCCCGTCCCCAGTTTTCTCCACGAGAGTCACATCAGCATGTTCCCTGCCTCGACGCCTGGCGCTGGCTTGTCAGAGCGTGTCAGCTGTCAGACACCGGCAGGGCTAAGGTAATTAATTGTTTGTTCCTTTGTAGGCACCAAGATTGCGGTCGACTGACTGTCCTTGACGTGAGGTCTTCCACAGGCCGTTCCAGTGTCATGGCTTGCATCCTTCTTCATCAAGGTACAGCAAGTATCCGCCCGGGGTTGAGACATTGATATTCAGCTCAAAATTTGCCGTCAACCTTGTCAGGTCTTGTCATTTACTTGGGGGAATGGGGGTGGGCAGACAAAGGACCCCGACAGACGTCGTCCAATGTTTTGGGGTTTTCTGAGTCTCTGACACGGGCACCGGCGAGAAACCAGTCTCAAGATGCCTCGTGTATATGGCTACGGCCCCCTCCTCCGCCCGGGTCCCAGACGTTGACAACGGCGATGGAAGACGGGACGAAACCCGTCGGTGATCTGATCTGGCCGCAGACGAGACGAGAGCTGGCCAGTCAGGCACTCCAAGGAAGATATCCTTTTCAGCTAGGTATCTCACGATGCTTTGTGTGCTGACATGCAAGTAGTGTGCGTTCTGTACTACTCGGAAGTGGGAAAGTCCTGCAATACATATTCGTACATGGATAGATACGTGTGAGGTACAAACAAGGCCCAACGCAGAACTTTGTGTTCCTTGGACACTTACGGAGTAAGCTATTACGAAGTACACATGGGGCTCCTCCAGTGCTCTGCAGCCAGTCTGAACACGCGCAGGCCAATCCAGAGACAGCATTGGGGTCATTGGGCGCCTTCTCAGCCTTACACTGCCCAGAAAGCGACCCGAGGGGGGGTTCCTCCACCTAGCGCACCCGCAGCTCGTTTTAGTGCCATCAGCTGGCTGCCGGGAGTATTCGTTGGTACCTTAGCAATACCATCGCCGGACCACCGTTTGGCTAAGGATCCCGGTCGAGGTCACTTTCGCAGTTGATGGCAGCGGAGAGTGACATGTGTCGTCGAATGGATTCCCCACCCTAGGTACACAGTTGACAGACATCTTACAGGACTTCCTTTCGCACCTCACCTCAAGGTTTCCTTCCATGTTGGATGCGCCAAAACGAGGGACACAGGGCAGCAAGCAGCCAGGCAAGCACTCATTGGAACTTGGACTGGGACCAGTGCAGCGGCAACCCTTCGTAGCAGCGGCATACAAGGGAAAGGGCGAGAGCAAACGTGGTGGTCCTTTGAATCAAAGTGAGACCGTCAAACAGAACGAAACGAGACGAGACAAGTTAATTTGGCCTGGCCAGCAAAAGGACTGAGAAACAGCTACCTTTTGTAGGTATGCGTACGGATAGATGGGCAGGCACTGGCAAGATACCGATTTGAGAACAAACATACCAGTTTACCCCTGATAAGAATAAACCAATATATCGTTAGGCATACTCCTCATCAGGTCGGCCCATCACATCACATCTTGATTCCTTGATCAGAAAGACAGTAGCTGACTACCTAGGACAACGACCAGCAGGCTGTGGCTTCTCTCCCTCTCATGTCCGCTTCATCTTCTTTACCTAACCTAAGGTAGGTTACCTGAGTGTACCAGTGTGTGCTACCTTCTGCTCGTGTTGCTTTCCATTGCTCTGACGGATTCCATACCTGGGCGCCCGACCCCGCGTCCAGCCGCCAAGCCCACCTCAGCGTGAGCCTCTCTCTTTCTCTTTTTCTTCCAGGTTGTCTCTAGCGACGAAGGAAGGAAGCGTCTCGTACTGCCCACCGTCGCTTTCCTCGTCGCCCTCCTCTGCATGCCTAGCCCGCCTGCCTGCCCTGCTTGCTTCATCCACAGCTCATCGTCACTGTTTCCGACTTCCGAATCTCACCTTCTTCTACACTTTCAACTCATCGTCTTCACTGCTGCCTTTACTACTTCTTCTTCAATCCGCTGACAGCGAGCAACGCATGCTTACCGTCCCGCGCCTAAGCAACATCAAAGTCTTGTCTACGTACGCCAGACGGCTTTCTCACCAAAGGTAGAGAGTAAGCGAGTGAATGGGGGGGAAAAGGTACTTATCCGTAAGTATTCGCCTGTACATCTTGCTGCTTTCCCCGGTGCCTCACAGCTGGAAGTCCTCCTCTTGTTGCTCGTCGTCCTCTTGGCCAAAAGAAGGAGAGAAAAGCTCCCATTCCAATCCACCATCCCAATTCACCATCCCAGTCGGCCCATCCCAGCTTACCTTACCTTATCGAATCCTCTCGCATTTGCTCGCATTCATTCACACGCAGTCTCCTCAACTGTCCCGCACTCTCCCTCTCTCTCTCTCTCTCTCTCTCTCTCTCTCTCTCTCTCTCTCTCTCTCTCTCTCTCTCACACCCTCTCCATCCCCTCCGCTTGCTTCTCTGCCCATTGCTGTGTGCCCGCTGCTACATTACGAATACCTACCTACCTTACTGTTGCTGCTGCTCCTTCTGTTGCACCGATCTGTACGGAGTACTGCACACCTCAACCCGCATCATCCCAGAAAAGGCGGGTTCATTCAAGCGCCCACGGTCCATTGCCCACAGAGAGACGGCCCACGCTGCACGCTCCACCCCCTCCACCCCCCCATTCCCAGCAAGCACCGCATTCTATTTTCTCACTCCTTCCCACCTTTTTTTTTTTTTTTCTCCCCCTTCGCCTTCCCGCCTTTCGTCTTCGTTTTCGTCCTGTCAAGCTCCGAGCCCCGTTGCAGCAAGCAGCAGCAGACCCAGCAGACCCAGCAGGTCCAGCAGCTGTGAGAGAGAGAAAGAGTCCTACACTAGAATTTCTGGTTCCTTTCCCAGACCTGGGGAAAAAAAGGTCTTAGTCAAGTCCTTAAAAGGTTCTTGACTTTTCTGCTGACCTAAGGACCGTGACTTGATCTGCGTCTGACTTGAAAGTCGACCGGGACGGTCCACTGCCTACCACCAAAAAAATCACCACCCACCCCCTCCCCCTCCCTCTTCTTCACTCCCCCCAACCCCGACACCCCAGCCCAAAAGTCCAAGCCCAAGCCCAGCAGCCGCAGCAACAAGTCCTAAAAGTCTAAGCCCAGGCCATCCAATCCATCATCCCGCCGATTATTACTCGAGTACGACCAAGAGCACCACCACCACCACCACTACTCCTCTCTGCTGCTCTGCTCTACTCTGCTCTGCTGCACCGCACCGCACCGCACCGCACACCCGCACCCGCACGGCTGCCGACGCCCTGCAACCCAAATCGATATACCCTCTGCTGGTCCTGCCCACCTTGGGCCCTCGCTTTTCTCCCTCTTCTTCTCCCCGACTCAGTAATCCCATATGAGCTTTTCCAACTCCCGCCTGAAAGGCTTTGGTTTCGGCAAACGCAAGTCAACTGCTAGTATCCAGACACCCGATCCGAACCAAACCCCAAGCCCGACCCCTCCTCCTCAGGGTGGTCACCCCTCCGGTGCCCCTCAAATACCGCAACAGATTCCCGTTCGCCCAGGCTCCATTGCCTCGACATCTTCTACTTCAATCGCTCCGATGAATCAACACCCAGGCGCCGGTAACCGGCCTCCGAGCTACTCGGCCAACTTTCCCCAAGGCGGTCCTCCTCCCATGGGTCGCACCAGCCCAATGACTGGTCAGGGTCCGGCTCGCACCCCGCCTTCTCAGATGGTTGGCGGTCCTCCTCCCATCAACACTGGTGCTCCCGTCGCCGGTTATCCCCCTCAGCTTCCTCCCATCGGCGGTCAGGGACACCCCATGGGTGGTCCTCCTCAGTACGGAGGCGGCGGCGGCAGCGGTGGCTATCCTCCCCCGGGTCCTCCTCAGGGTGGGCCGATGGCACAGTACCAGCGCGGCGGCAGCGCGGCTGAGGTGGAAGGCAACAGCAGGAGTAAGGCTCAGCTGATTGTCGGTATCGATTTCGTACGTGGATTCTTTGGGTCAAGACAATGTTTATCATATGCCGCGTTGCTGACATGACCCACAGGGTACAACTTTCTCCGGTGTGGCGTTTGCTTTTGCGACAAACAACGAAGCCAAGGAAGACATTATAACAGAATGGCCTGGCGCTGGTTCATACACGAAGCAAAAGGTAGGAAGCGAAGGAAGACTTACGGCCCTCAGAGATAGCGCGGTGCGTTTTGCTCTTGTACTATGCTGACACTCTTTCGCCTCTAGATTCCCACGGTTCTCTACTACGATCAGTACCAGAAGGTTGTTGGCTGGGGTCCCGACATCGCCGATGCCCTCGCTCCCACTGGATACCCGAAGCCCGGCGTGCAAAAGGTCGAATGGTTCAAGCTGCAGCTCATGTTGTCCGGCAACACATATATCGACCCCATTAACTTGCCTCCTCTGCCTCCTGGAAAGTCCGAAATCGATGTTGCGGCCGACTATCTTTTCAAGCTCCGCCAAGCTATGCGCTCGGCTCTGCAAAAGACACTCGGTGAAGTATTCAATCGTGAGGAGCGAAACATTCGTTACTATCTCACCGTTCCTGCCATTTGGAACGATGCAGGAAAGGCCGCCACCAGAGCCGCCGCTATCCAGGCCGGTTTCCTGAGAGACGAAAACGACAACCGATTGACGCTAGTTTCCGAGCCCGAAGCTGCCGCTATTTTCTGCTCCAAGACGGGACTCTTGAACCTCAAGGTCCACGACGCCGTGCTAATTGTCGATTGCGGTGGTGGTACTGTCGATTTGATCGCGTACGAAGTCGAGGAGGAGAACCCCTTCACCGTTGCCGAATGCACGGCAGGATCTGGTGATTCTTGTGGTTCAACAGCGCTAAACCGCAATTTCAGCAACATCCTCCGCACCAAGATTCGCAAGATGAAGCTGCCCGACGGATCCAAGACGGCGGGCCGCGTGTACGCCAAGTGCATTATGGACTTTGAGAACCGTATCAAGGCCGATTTCCGCAACAACGGCCAGAAGTGGGCCGTCGATGTTGGTATTGAGGCCGAGTTCCCCGAGGCCGGCATCGAGGAGGGCTACATGACGTTCACCAACGAGGAGATTCTGCAGTGCTTCGAGCCCGTTGTTAACCGCATTCTCGAGCTCGTCAGAAACCAGATCATTGCCATCCAGGCCCAGAATCGGACGTTGCAAAACATTCTCGTTGTTGGTGGATTCGGTGCCTCCGAGTACCTCTTCCAGCAGATTAAGCTCCACGTTCCTCCCCAGTTCCAGTCCAAGGTCGTCCGCCCCATGGACTCCGTGGCCGCCATCGTCAAGGGTGCTGTTACTGCCGGCATCACCGAGCGTGTCGTCACACACCGTGTTGCTCGTCGTCACTACCTCATGGCCACCTTGCAGCCCTTTAAGGAAGGATACCACCCCGAGGCCTACCGCGTGCCATCCCTCGACGGCAAGGATCGTTGCAAGTTCACCCGTCAAATCTTTGTGCAAAAGGGCCAGAAGGTCAAGATTGGCGAGCCCGTCAAGGTCTCGTTCTTCCGTCAAGTTGCCCCTGGCGCGACGCTCATGTACGAGGACATTTTGTACGCCTGCGACGACGATGTTTGCCCTGAGTATACTAAGGATCCTCGTAAGTTCAATGACGGATTTTCCACAATTGACCATTACTAATCTTGGACACAGGCATCAAGGAAGTTGTCACTCTGACCTCGGACCTGTCGCGGAAGAACCTCGAGAAGGACTTTGAGAGAATGGACACACCACAGGGCACATTCTACCGCGTCTACTTTGATATTTACCTGACGCTCGACGGATCCGAGTTCAGCGCAGAGCTGGTGTGCCAAGGCGAGGTCATGGGTCGCTGCAGAGCGCGCTTCAGGTAAAGACGGGGGTGGAAGGAAGAGGGGAGAGAGAGAAAGAGAGAGAGAGAGAGAGATTGATAATGTTTGCTTGCTTGCATTGGGCATTTCGTTTCCATACACTCGGATGATACCTCGAAAAGGTGATGGGGGCCAGAAGGACAGCCCCGAGGCTAATAATGGCCGAGAGTACATATCACGAAGAGACCTCCCAGGAACAGATGACTGGAAGACGAGGGTTGGATTTGGGAGGGTTTTATGACGCGGAAGGATTATGGCCTATTGTCAAGTGTTGTAGACGCACGACACTCCCCACCTGGGAGAAATCAAGATTTTTTCAAAAGACTACAACTTCCTGACGAGGTCGTATGGAGATCCACCCTAGTTTGGGGGAAGGTCGTATGCAAACCTGATGAAGCCATTCGCCCTTCATCCCAACTACCCAGATCCTGAGCTGATTTAATGTCCTAGGATTTCCGTAGGCCCCTCGTGCCGGGGGCCGAATTTTTATTTTATTTTATTTTATTTTTTTGGCTGTGATTGCGAACTATATGGGAACTGCATAGATAGGTATATATATCTAGCCAGCTTTTAAGCAAATCTTGTTTGGCTCGACCAGAATAAGGCAAGACTTGCCAAGAATTGTGTTTTGAGAACTGGTAGCGCCACGTGGAATGGAGTATCATGGGTGCCAAGCTATCGGTTCTCGGAATGAAAACACACCCTGATCCTGTATTTGTGAGGGACCCTGTTCTCTATCCTGACGATGGTTCCTGGTCAAGTTCATAAAGCTTAAGAGCAACGTTGCGGGGGCTGTGTCGAAAGATAAGACAGCGATTGACATAATGTATAGTCTTTGTGGCGAGAACAGCGAGAGACTACTTGAGCGGCTGACCAGTCCTAACATGCTCTGACTCAGCCACAGCAACTTCAATGTGTGGAGACTGAGTTGCGTGCACTGGCCCAGTTGGTAAATGGCGCGGGGGGAGCAAGAGCCAAGCAAGGAAGGCCCTGGTCGCTGACGAGCCGAAGGTAGACCAGATCAACCCCGGTCAGTGCCGGCGGGAAACCGGGCAGCCAGTTGCTCCTGCGTCATCGTCTGAACATGAACCGCTGGGAAGTTCGACCCAAGGTCGGGCCCTGCATCTTGCACCCTTCGAAAACTGACAGTGGCAGCAGGTAAATGGGACGGGCCAATGCCCCCTCAGTTGGGTAGGTATGTGGTGACTACAACAAGTAAAGTACGGATAAGTCAGTAGGTAATGTAATGATGCGATGTCGTGTTCTACTTCTCTCTACTTGACCCTCTCGACATCTCACCAACCTCGGTCACTCGAGACTATCGTATGCCACGAAACCTCTAATTCGTACCCTCCTACAAAACTTGACGACGGTCCCTTTCTGCATCATTAGTGCCAGATAACGCTTGTCTATTAAGCGCGAAGAAAATAACCTACTTTTCCTTTCCCTGCCCTACGAACCCAGTTCCTGTTCCACCCTTCCGTGCCCGTCCAACCAACCTGCGTCTCCCACCTGGTCGAACTCTGACGCTACATCGCGCGTGCAGGGATAATCAGGAATTGGCCCCTGGATCAACCAGGCCGATCTCACCTCTGGGCAAATCCCGCCGCCCCTTGTTTTTGCTCATTCGCTCTCACGTCGACGCTCCCGTACGTCACTCGGCGCAGGTCCGTCGCAGGCCATTGGTGGGCGTCTGATTCCTCGACATCGTTGGGTGCTGGCGGTTATTATATCTACCTCCAGATCGTCGTTCGTCCAGGACCGCGGAAGCTTGAATCCCTTCTGAACCATGAATTGTCACAGCATCCCGGCGTAAAAATACATTGGATCCTTTTCAAGTCAACGAATTACACGACTTGTCCTCACTCTCAGTTTTGCTACTTCTCTTGGGCTATACCAAAGATTTGTCGGAGAAGGCCGACCTACGAAACCATGAGACCTTCGTCGTCTTCGAGGAGAGGCGACAAGCGGCCGTCGAGGACAACCCAGAGCCTCTTCGTCGCGCTGGCTTTATCCTCGCAGCTACCAGCAGCCAACGCAATCGTGTTCCCGAGCTATCATCCAAACTACAAGACCGACTACCTTCAACTGAACAAGCGGTACAATCCCGCCAGACGAGGCCCACCCGAGGACTGGAATGGGAGAATCCCCTTGAAGATCACCAACTCATGTCCTAACACGATCTGGCCCGGCATCACAACGCAGCACGGCGTCGGTCCTGGGATCGGCGGTTTCGAGCTTGCCTCGGGCGACAGTCGAGACATGTGGGTTGGGCCAACTTGGCAAGGCCGCGCTTGGGGAAGAACCAACTGTACCGTCAATGGAGAGTCGGCAGGCTGCGAGACGGGTGACTGCTTTGGAAAGCTTGACTGTGAATTCAGTGTAAGTCTTTTCCTCTTGAATGTAACAGACGATGGCTGATCAACCCAGGGTGCTGTTCCCGCAACTCTCGCCGAGTTCAACTTGGCCGGCGGTGTCTCTGGACGCCAAACCTTTTACGATATCTCCCTGGTCGACGGCTACAACATCCCTGTGGGCATCAACTACATTCCCGCTGAGAACACCACTTATATCCCGCCAAACTTGACCAACTGCGCCTGCATCGCAACGACGGGCTTCCTGTCACAACGCGCGGCAAGCGGCACCGTCTATACCAACAGCACATACCCCGTTCCCTGGGAGCCAACTGAATCCAACGAGAGTTCCAAAGACTGGTGCCCATGGCCTCTGCTTTCCAACCCGCCAGACAAGCCTGGCGACGGTGTTTACCCCTATCCTGACGACAACATCCAGCGTCCGACCTTCAGCCCGTGCAAGAGCCAATGCGCGGCCACGAATTCGGATCACGACTGCTGTATAGGCAAATGGCATGACCCCAACAAGTGCAAGCCAGGCTTGTACTCCAGACATGCCAAGGCCCTGTGCCCTGACGCATACAGCTTCGCCTTTGACGACCAAACATCGACCTTCATCATCCCATCGGGTGGCGGCTGGGAGGTTGTCTTCTGCCCCGCTGGAAGGAGCACTAATATTCTCCGTACCATGGGGCCGCAGCTGTTTGAGCTCGCGAGCGCCGGCTTCTTGAGCCAGAAGAACCTGGATTTGGTTAAGAATCAATCCTACATAGAATCTGAGAGCGAAAAGAACGCTGCTCCAGGCCTGGCTTCGTCGTCTCTGTGGGCCATCTGCGCGGCGGCTACAACCGCTGCCATGCTGTTGGGTTGGTAGATGTCTTTGGGTTATTTGCTTTTTTTTTTTTTTTTTTTTTTTGCTTTCTCTGGGATAAGCACGACGGGGCTGGACCCACGCAATCTGCCGTGCTTCTTTGCAACTTTGATTTTTTTTGGCATTGGGATACCCAGGAATGATTGCATGAGGCATGGACGATAGATGCATGGCGCAAGACGATGATACAGAGGCTCAACAGTGTGAGCTAGAAGACACTACAACCGCAACCTTCCCTTCGAGTACCTAGAAAACTTATACCCATGATGAATACAGTACACTTCATACTTTGAATAGACTGTGGTTCTTGTGAATGGAGTAAACATCAAGAGTCGCCACCGAGATTGTGATGGAGAATGAGTATCGTAACCTGGACAGTACCAGTCCTTGAGACATCATATCCTACATATCGAGGCTCATGTTTATGCCTTTCTTTGCACTCTACCGGTAGTTGTGTGCGACAAACGGAGAGTTTGAAGCTTTCGGAAGGGAACCGACGGAGACGGGATCCGCAGCAGCCGTGGATCCGGGCCAGAGCAAGTTCCTCACGTATCAGGTATGCAACGATGAATGCTCGGAGCTCAGCTCACGATGAACTTTTTTTTGTTTAATATTTCAAAAGTAGACATGAAGACATGATACTCCCAAGCAAGCCCGAATAGGAACATTTCAGGCAACATCTGGAAAGTTTTGATTGCAATAATGTACCTCGAAAAAACTAAAAGCTCAAGATCTCAACTCCGTTGTCTATCTGTTGGTTGTGACGTTATTTTTGTTTTCTTCCCTTTTCGTGAGATGATACCGCCCGAAAGAAAAAAAAACACCTTGACCCATGATCGTGACACTGGAAAGTCTAACAGTTTGTGAAATTCTTTTTTCTTTCTCTTCTTTCCTACATCGCCTCTTTACTCTTTCCTCTTTCCTTCTCTCCATACTCCGTACTGCCGTGTCGTTTTTATACGTGTCTCGACCCTCGCCCCCTCCAATTCCCCGCCATCGAATGGATAGAGGGCATTGGGAAGAGGCGTGGGGTCGACATGGAACAGATGTACCGGCGAAAAAAAACAAAGTGCAACCAAGTTGTGCTCGAAATCTGCAAAGTCTTCCTTTCTCTGCTTCTCACTTGAAGGTGATCAAAACGCCCCTACATCCGTAAGACTCAACCCTTGCGCGCGGCACGCTCCTTCCGTCTCCGATCCCACTCGGCCCTCTCCTCGTCATCACTACCACTGAACTCGGCATCATCGTCGCTCTCCTCGTCATGGGCGTAACCCACAGGCACAGGCGGCGCAGCAGAATTAGGAATCGCAGGAGGCGCACCAGGGGGCGCTGACGCCGGCGCGCTCGCACCGCCCTTGCTCTTCTTGCCCGCAGACGAAGCGTCCACGTTGATAAAGTCACCCGCGTTGAGCGAGGCGTACTCGTGCTTCTGAATCAGTTCGCGAAGGGCCGGGTTACGGGGATCGACGAGCTGGAGGGGTGTGAGGCCGCCCTTGTTCTTGATGCGTGGGCTGGAGCCGGCTTCGAGCATCATGTCGACGAGGGCGTTGCCAAATTCGCGGTTGGCTTGGGATTCGTTGTTGATCCAGCGGATGGCGCTGTGGAGGGGTGTGTCGCCTTCTTGGCGGTTGATGGGATCGCATTCAAAGTTTGGTTGGTCGAGTAGGAGGTCGATTATGTCGTCTGTGGGAGAAGATTAGAATTGGTACGGTGCCTTTACGTAGTTTGAGGAGGATGGTGTGGGAGAGGAAATGGAAGGCGGTGGTGTTGTAGGAAGATTAGAGTGTCTCAAGGAAGCGCGTGAGGGCAAGACGTACAGTTTCCTCGGGAGGCAGCTTCGTGATAGAGGTGGTTTCCCATGACAGTGGTAGTCTCGTTGAGGATGCGGGAGAGCTCGTTCTCGTCCTTGATTCCAGCGATGACGTCGTTGAAGAGTTCGGTGTTGTCGCGGCGCGCGGCCTCGATGAGGAGCTCCTGGACGGAGGCGCCCTATAGGTATCGTGTCAGCTCTTTACTTTATATTTCTCATGAGACGATTGCCTCTATGTGACGGAGGAAGTGGCCAGACGAACCTCGTGCTCCTCGTGATCCCCTGCCATGATTGTGGAGTTGTGTATGGGTGTGGGTGTGGGTGTACGGTTTTGTTCACGGCGAGGCTATCGTGGGGAAGGAAGCGTTCTCGGGGACGAAGAGGAAATGACGAGGGTCTGCTGTTGGCGTGTCGTGCTTTGCTGGGCAAGGAAGGTGGTGTTTCGAATTGGCCTTCCGTGCTGGGTCGGGGGGAACGTCGCTTTGGTGGGGTTCGTGGATCGGAGGTCACGGCGGGAAGGAGTTGAGGTAGAAAGAACGGTGAGGGGTAAAAAGTATTTAGTGGTGCCCTGGTGGTCGTTCTTTTTCTCAAGGTGCGTTATCGTGGGGGGGGGGGGGGGGAGGTAAAAGATGAGGGGCGGCTTGGACGATAGGCCAGGTACGATGGGCTCGTCCAGGGCGGTGAATGTGTGAGGTTGCGGGAGAAGAATACTGCACAGTAGATGGAAGAGGAAAAAGATGAGTCGCGCAACGTCCGATCGCGCTGTGAGGTAGATCTGGGTTCGGGGAGATGTTGCGAGTCGTCACTTGAACTTTGGGCTCCGTTTGGCTTTCAGATGAGGTGAGGTGCAGCTACGTAGGTACCCAAACTTCCCGTCCTTTCCAAAGGCTCGTGGGGCTGAGAGGCTACGCGGCAGTTTCCAGGTTTGTGGTGTCCAGGAGGTGGCAGTGATCGCCAAACCCCTGATCCAGAACAGAAGGACCTAAGTTAGGTACCATGAAAAGCGCCTAAGTCACTCTCAGCACTCCGAGTACATCCAATTACTTGCTACATAGATGGACCAGTAAGGTGAACCTTAGCAGCAGCAGCAGCTTGTTGCAGCGCTTACAACGAACAAAGGGCCAGTAATCCTGGAAACAGTCCGCCAACCCCGCTATTCGCACTTCAGGTGGACGGACGGGACGGGTAAGGCGGGGTGAGAACAGGAGCCTCTTGGAGGGGTACGGAACATTACTGCAGCCGGATTCCGGCGGGACTGACTGCTGTACCGTGTTTTTTTTACCTTCCCTTTCTGCAAGACGCTGGTCGCTAGTCAGTGGTGACTGTTCCCCGACTGGTGAATGGCGGCTTCGTCCCCCACCGTCGCATTCGAGGCCCGCTGAATTTTCCAAGACGATCACACCGAGGAACGATTTCGCGGTGAGCTGAGCACATCACCAAGCAGCAAACCACACTACCGCAATCACACAATCGCTCTTGCGAACAACTGCCGCCTAATCAGAAATCACACGTACCGACAAAATGTTGCTCTGTAAGGCTCCATCTCGCTCCCGAAGCTCCTATCCCCTGGCCCTGCTCTAGCTAGCAAGCGCATTCGCTAACGAGACAACAAAACCCAGTCTGCCCCAACTGCGCCAACATCCTCACCGTCTCCGCCTACGCCGGCGTGCGCAATCGCCTCGAGTGCCGAACCTGCCCCTTTGAGCACGCCATCACCGAGCCAATCTACTCGCGCCGCGACTTTGAGCGCAAGGAGCGTGAGGACGTCTTTGGCGGACCGGGCGAGTGGGACAATGCCGACAAGGCGCGCGCACAGTGTCCCAAGGACGGCTGCAACGGCGAGGAGGCCGCCTTCTTCCAGGTCCAGATTCGTAGTGCTGATGAGCCTATGACTACGTTTTATAAGGTATGCTTTCGCCGTGGTTTATCGAAAAGGGCAGAATGCTGACCTGATTCGTTTGTAGTGCATGTCGTGCGGAAACAGATGGAGAGAAAACTGATATTGGACGAGAGGGAGGATTTGGTATCATTATTGGGCATTGCGAGGCGTTGGGGACGATATGTGGATTTATTGTCGATTGGTCTGCTACACGCAACTCGGTGCAGCTGCGTCTCTATGTTTTGGAAGCTGGTTGTGAGGCTGCCTTTCCTGATGGGCCGCTTCGCAAAGAGGTCCTTTATCTGCGACTTGCTTAATCGTATGACTGGCATTTCCCTCTAGTCTTCCCTTATCTTGGTCGTTAAATTCGTGATATGTCTGTTGCCATGCTGCTTAACGGCCGCGCGTGCCTTCCCGCGTCGCCTCATCTTGCGCGCCACTCTTGGCCCCGGGTTTCCAACCTTCCATCTTGATTGTAGCGTTTCGTGGCCCACCTCGCGGGACACGAGGCTTGTCGTCCCATTCTATGACAAGAACAGGGCCCAATCGCGTGACTGTGAATCGCGTATCCTCATGTCCCACCCAGAATCGAAAGGCGCATTCCATTCCATGCCTTTCAAAGCCCTCACGCATCGCTCCGGTGCCAGTCGACCGCGGCCCGCATCCCGTCGTCCATCAGCCTCTGCACGAGATCGGGACTGATGACGTCCTGCCGGAATTGCTCCTGCTGCAGGAGCTCGAGGTGCTTGAGCGTTGGGCCGGGGTACATGAGGTACTTTAGGTACGGCGGGCGGGTCCAGTACTGCAGGTAGGCGAGGTAGGCGACAAAGTCGGGGCGGGTGAGGAGTTTCTGGGTCGCGAGGTGGTTTAGGTAGAGGGGGTTTGCGAGGGATTGGACAAACTGCGCGCGCGCGCGAGAGGAGGTTAGCAAGACTTGTTCAGCGTCGTGCGTGCGTTTCTCTTTCTGGGAATGGAGAGCCAAAGGTGGGTGGGAGGCGTGGGTTGGGGGAGAGTTACTTACCTCGAGCTCGATTTCGAATCGCGTGTAGCCGCCGTAGACCGGTTCGTTGTCGGGCGGAGGGGGCGGTTGATCTGGTACTGTTGTCGCCATTGTCGTAGTCGGTAGTGCGTGGGTGGGATGTGATTGTGAAGTTCAGGGGATCTGCTGTGTACCTTAGTGCAAGGTAGATTGAAGTCGATGGACGGAAGTGGGGATTGAATCTGGAGCTTGGACAGGGGTCCACTAGCTCCTCCAACGGCTGATTAGGAGTGACAGAGCTTGCATAGTCAAGTCAACTCAAATCTTTGGGAGCGAAGCCTGAACAGCGTTTGGTTTAAGACGCTCTGAAGAAGTTGACCATGTTTCTTCACAAAAGGTAGCAATAGGAATAAGGCCGACTGGTAGTTTTCTCAGGCCACCAAGATATACTGCCAACAGAGGCAGAGTGAGCCGCCGTATTACACTTGGTTCCATAAGATTATGTGCCTGATTATGTATCCGTGTGGATTCCTGTAGCTACGTGCGATAGCTTAGCTTCATAGACAATTTATGTGTTTCTCGACATTGCGAGATATATCAAGCCGCTCAGAGTTAGGGCAGCCCTCAAAGGCGAGGTGGTGTGATGGAAGCCGGTTAGGTTCAGCTCAAGACGGGTGACCACTGCCCACTTTTTCTCCCAGCGAGAGACGCCTTCATCATGTACTCCTTCGGCTCGAATGAGCCTTATGTTACTATTATATCATAACTTTCTCTAGACGGTCCTCTTCCTGGATATCGTCTACCAACAGGCCGACTTCTCTAGCTGAGCATTGGTCCCGTCTGAGGGGCTGGCGTCGCTAAGATGCGATGGGCGATGTCTCCCCGCTGCTCCGCTTCTAGCAGCACGCGGGAAGCTGGGGGTTCCACGGATTCCTCCAAGCATACTGACTGAAGGATATACCACTGAAGAAGCCCGGGGAGACAGGTGGACGTCCTTGTTTAGGGTGACGGTAATACGAAAGGGGATCGGTAGTCTGTATCTTACTTTACTGACCGCTCGCAAGCAGCGAACCACAAAAAACATAAGCGAATTCCATATTGTACATAAGCCGGCGACTTGCTAAACTCATTAGCCTCGTTAGCGACAATGCCGATGACCGACAAGAAGGGCATTGATCGTGTTCCTCAAGAAAGATTCAGAGTCCCCAAAGGCTCTCAGCACCCTCCACCTACCTGAAGAACTCTTCAGAGAATCAACCCGGAGATGCTGATCCACGGTTTCTGCCACACTGGTGTCGTCAGGTTGATAGACCTGTGTATACTTGCCTTCTCGCCCATGCCCGATGCACTCAGTAGACCAGCATTCCCGCGCAGCATACATCCGAATTACTCATGTGGATTAGGATTCTCTCTATACGATAGAGAATGCAGCGCCTTCCAAACTCTAGACGAGGCCAGGACAGGTGACATATTGTGGCAGATAAATAGACTCAGCGTAGGTCATGCTGAGTGCTATGAAAGACCGCCTCATGTCGTCCAAAATGAGTAAGTGCCAAAGATCTTGTAGTGAAGATCAAGGACCAGTTTATCAATTCACGAAGACCGCATTCGGAAGCGCGAGGATGATGTGGGAATCAAATACATGAACCTTCGAACCCCGTAAACCGCGATTTGCTTCGCCTCCATTAAACACGTCTTACACATTCAAGAGGCCTGAAAGAGTGTGCCTCGTCACGATTCAAGAAGAGTACTTAGGCGGGTAAGTGAACAAAAGATGCCTCCTCTGGCTATCCACTGCTCTCAGCTTTACTAAGTATGCGAAAGAAGGGACCTTAGTAATAGGTAATCATCAGATTCTACCAAAACAAAAACAGAAAGCATAGGAACGGAGGTGGTATACTGACTTTGTAATTCACGCCACTGCCCGGGAATCGAACAGTTCGTCCCTCAATCAACCCGAACTCTGACTTCATAGGAGTATTTGTTTATTTAACCACTCGACCACCTCGAACACAGCTTGACCTGACCTCGCCGACCTAGACGGGCGCTGCTATGCTGGTGACAGGAACTGTGACTAGACCCCTTAAATAGGGAGACAGGCCAGACGAGGGAAGAAGAGGCGCGGTGGTGGGAAGGGGCGAGGCAGGTGCTGCCGGCGCGGTTGAGTGGGAAACTCGAGGCTGTAGGTCTGATTCACGTCAGTGTATTTTTATCCAGGTCACCTCATAAGAAAACAAGATTGACCACGTCAACTCGGATACTTTAGGGGTATTATCGCAGCTGTTTGAATAATTTCTGGTGGGAGTCGCGTGCCTTAGACATTGGCACCAGTGATCTTGAATGGAGCGGTTGATTGCTTTTACCTCTAGATATACGCCCTCTTATTGAATCCTTCTCTTTTCGTTTCTGTTCCCTTTACCAAATAACAACAAGAGAAACACGACAGCTGTTGTCACCATAATGAGCCAAATAACTTCATTGACTTTACAGTCGCCTGTCAATCATAACGATCAACTTGATTTTAATTTTATTCCGTCATTTAATTGCGTGAAAGTTCAATCATGTACTCAAATGAGAACAATTGCTTTTCAGACCTCAAAAACCATTTCTTCTTGATGCTTATACTCAGTCGACTGTAAAATCATAAGCGGAGCTAGAATACTGTGTCCTGAAATCTGGTGCTTGTTAGTACTTGACATACAACAGCAATTGCTGCTCTGAAGACATGTCATGCAAGCTTCATTGTCCCGAAGCTAATCGGATGGCTTTAGCCCGGTGACGAAGCCCCACTCAATAAAGACATTTCTCCACTGAAAAGTTGGGGATCAGCGCCAGGAGGCAGAAGCTCCAACCAGGGGGAAATTTCGCGACCCAGACTCGTCGTCACCTTTGCAAACACCAACGCTGCATAAGGTTTGCCAACTTTTCCTTTGCTCGTCCCAAACCACCTCCTGGGCCTAGCGGTAAAAGCCCCCAAATACCCTCAAGCATGGCCTCGAAACGCAGCTACGAAGCCTCCGAGGGCAACGATGGCGCGCAGCAGCCAGCATCCAAACGCAACAAGAACAACAAGGCACGCGACCACCAAAATGCACACATCGACCCAACATGGGGTCAGAAATACGTCTTCTCGTCTGCCGCGGGCTCGACGACGGTGCCGGTGGACCCGGAGCTGGATTTTGAGGATGACGGAGATGCCATGGCGTATCTCAAGTCGGTGAGGTAAGAAACCCCCCCCCCCCCTTTTGCACTAGACTGTCTTCTTTCCCATGTGCTGAACTGGTGTTGGAAGTAGTGCGGGTTGATGCTGATATGGTGAGTCTTATAGAACACAAGCAAACGGTATACCACACCTCCTCGTCGCGCCAAAGGTCCCGATCGGCCCGCAACTACCGAAAGAGCTACAGGACGATGACGATAACGGGGACGATGCGTACGAAGAGGAGGAAGGCGGTCGCGACATCTACACCACAGGCGAGGGCGATTTCAGAGGATACTACGCAGACGGCGCATACACAGCACGACCCGACAACTGGGGCAAACCTCACACGACCGGCCACGACGACGAAGTGGAAGAAGGCGAGTGGCCCGGCAACGAAGGCATCGACGACGCCGAAGATCAATACTCAGACGCCGGCACCGACTCCGAGTCCGCCATCCGCGAAGCCTACTTCGCCGCTATCCTCACCCGCTTCAAACGCCTCCGCAAACTCCTCCACTCCGCCCCACCCCCCTCCGCCGTCGCGGCCCTACACCCCGGATCCCCCCACGACTTCCGCGTCGGCGCCTTCGCGCCCAAATCGGCAACTTACACAACCTGGTCCAACCGCCTCCGCGATGCGGACCCTCTCCCGGCACAACTCGCCTCCATGGACAAAGAAGGCGTCCTGCGCGTGCTCCGCGTCTTGCTGGGTGGCGGCGCGTTCCTCCGGCGCGGGAGCGAGATGAGGGAGCGCACGAGCCGGTGGCTGTGGGCGCTTCTCGCGCGGTTACCGGAGCGGGGGGAGATGAACCATGTCGAGGTCGGGTGGGTGAGGGATCTGGGGAGGCGGGCGGTGCTGATGATGCAGAGTCTTGCGGATATGGCGGCGTTGAGGGATGCTTTGGAGAGGGAGGGGATGGATTTGGGGGTGAATGATGCTGTTGATGAGAGTTCTGATGACGAGGAGGCGTTGAGGGAGATGGAGGTTGATGAGAGGGATGGGGACGGGGAGACGTCTGGGGCGGAGACGGCGGGTGGAAAGGTTGGTGTTCAGCTCCAAGAGGATGTTGCGATACCCAAGGACTCAGCCGGCGACGGCGAAGTTAAGGACGGAGAAATCGACGACGGCGACGACCAAAAGTCAGAGCCAATGGACGTCTCCGAAGACGGCGAAATAGACGAAGGCGAGGTCGTGGAAGAAGAGCCGGCACCGGCCGAAACGCTCGAGGAGGCGCGCGCTCGACTCCTCGCCCAGATAGACACTGCGGCGGCCGTCGAGGACGCGCCGTCCGAGGCACCGTCGGAGGAACCCATCGCGGAAGAGGCTGTCCAAAATGAGGATGACTGCGAGGTATCCGACCAGCTGCGGGCGCGGATGAACATGCGGGCTACGCTGAACATGATTCTGACCGTTGCCGGTGAGTTTTACGGGCAGCGCGACTTGCTCGAGTTTCGGGATCCTTTTACAGGTATGTAAGCTCAAGTATCGATTCCGTGCAAGGTAGGGCAATGGATAGAGGGGCTCCAGAGGCGTTCTTCTATCAAAAAGGTACTCAAATTTGGTAGTCCCTGAGGGCTCCGGGGTAACGTGCTAGCCTATGATACCAATACAATAAAACCACAATGGCGCAGACCATTAGCCTTAGAAAGAGGCGTAATACAAATCCAACTATTCAAACCGCTCACGAGCAAGGTTCCTGGTCTGTTGCTCGCGGTTCCTCCACGCACCCTGCTGAACAAATGTCCTCAAAGCAGCTCTTGCCGAGTACAAGTGAAACAGATACCCGCTCCGTGATTCTCTGCAACCTAAGAAAAAACTCCAGGCGCCCACTTCTGTACCGTCTCGGTACTTAAACAATATCATAGCACAGGCAATTCCCTCTCCCCAAACGCTCGCATAGAAAACGGCCTCCTCTATGCATCACTCATATCAGTGTCAGGCGTGACGAGGAAATCCGCGTCCTCGAAATCATCCACGACAACATTCTCCTGCCCCAGTCTAGTCTTCATATTCCGACGGCTCTTCCTCGGGACAGCCAACGGGCGAGCATTTGCCCACCCAGACGGGGCCAGGCTCCGCGGGCTCACCTCGCCCTCCAACCACGCCGCGCGGTCCGCCCACATCTGCACCGGCTCGTCGCTCTCCTCGTCGTGGGCGAAGAAACGCTTCTTGCTCCGTCCGTCGCTGGCCGTGCTCTCGACACTTTCCACGCTCTCTTGGGAGCTGCACAGGCCCGGCATATCGTCCAGCCCAGGCACGCTGCCGTCATCGAGTTCGTAGTCGTCCTCGTCGCTGGAGTGGTGGACCGGCTGGCTGGATAGGCCTCCGACCTTGTTGATGCCGCAGAAGGGCAGGAGTTCGCGCTGGGAGGCGGCGGCGCTGCGGTTGCGGTTGGTAGAGGTGGTGGTGGTTGACCGGACGACGGGGGTGCGGCGGTCCGTGGCGTCGGTCCACAACTTGAAGCTGCTGTAGGAGCCCGTCTTGTAGCCCTCTGGCACGGACTTGCGGACGCGCATGCCGACGGAGAGGAGGTTGGATTGTGTGTCCAAGGGGATGGTTTCTTGAACGTTGGGCGAGGGACCGGCCGGAGAAGGAGCTGGGCCGGATCGAGTGTTGAAGAAGGAGGTGATTTGGCGCTGGGAGGGGTCGCTTGATGCGCCAGCGAAGAGACGTTTCGTTCTCGGGGCCGACATGGTTGTGACGTAGTTGTGGAGGTCGAGGATCTAGAGCCCGTTTGCACAGTTGGCCTTTGAAGATTGGTCGGGATTGACGTTGAGGAAGATATGAGGTTCGTGATGATGGTCGTGGTCCAAGCGCTAACTTCTTTTTGGTCGGCGCAAGGAAAAGTATCGTGAGATGCGGCCGTTCGGTAAGGTAGTGAGAGTGGAGAGTTTCAATTCGTCGCCCGAAAAAAAAAAGTAGGATGAGATGGTAACCGTAGAAACGATCGCAAGCGAAGAATGACGTACAGAAGCGAGAGGAGATGCGGTAGAAGAAAGATGGGCGGGGGAGGAGGGGAGAAAGAAGACAAGTGGTTGGGAAGATGATGGGAGATTAAGTTGATACGAGAAGAAGAGGGAAGGAAGGGGTGGTGGTGGGGGATAAGGTATGACGGACCTGCACCGCTGGGTCGGGCGGTTTTCCAAGGTTGCGAGAAATGGGCAGCCCAGAGTGGCAGAGAGACGGAGGGACAACGCATGGGACATCCGACGATCCGCGGCAGCTGGGCGATTAGGCGAGAGAAAGCGCGTCTGGGCGTGTTTTTTCGCGAGACTCGCGCGGCCAGAACCCACTAAAAACCACTTTAGCTACGCTGGTGGGGGGCCATGTGCCCTGAAACTGACATTGACCGGCGGATGATTGGCGCCCCTGCGTTTCCATTGCCCCCTTCCCTTGCTCGGGGCGGGTTTTTCTCTTTTTCAAGTTTGCTGAGGTACTCCACGGGCCACCTCATGCCTCAATGAACGGGAGTCCGTTTGACAGCGGGCGACACGGTCTCTTCAGAATCGGCCGAGAGGGCAAAGGAGGCGGAGTTCTATCGCATTCGTGTTTTGTATTATATTGAGGTTTCCAACAATGCTTCCCATCATGATTGTTGCTTCGTTCTCTTCTTCTTCTTCTTCTTCTTCTCTTTCGCCCTTGTAGGTCAAGCGTATGTGGCAATGAAGGTCGTGTCATCTAGCATGCCACCGCAGCAAGGTGACGCATTTGATAGGCGATCATCCTTAGAAACGGCCTTGATGTGCGCCTCCATTGTCTAATTGAGGCAACTGAACACACAAACAGGGCAGCATGCAAGCCGTGAGGAGAAGCTCTAGCGGTGTAACAGCAAAAGCATTGTCCAGAGCATGGCTCAATTCTTACCTCTCCTTTTGGGGTCTCACAGTTTCAACGGTTCCTTGGGCAGCTGTTCCGTTCCACGGAGAGATAACTGCCAAGGCATCCTAGGGTCTTGTCGAATCCAAGTCCCAGCATCAAGCTCTCCAAATTAGTGAGGGTCTGCCGCTTGCACTGGTACTAGGTTGCGGAGAGCAGAGTTACGCAAAGTTTAGATATAGGTACTCAGTGGCCCAGCCATTTGGAGAGCTCCGGAGAGGCCGGTGTGAGCTGAAACAAATCTTATGGTCGAGACACACGAGCTCGCCTTCACATTGACATGCATCTTCTTCGCCAACATTCAAAATAAGTGGACAACTAGTGGGGGCCGTCACAGATCCGTCAAGGTACACGCGAGCACGTCACTTCACCACATCACGATACACATCACATTATGACGAGCAGACACATTTTCCGGGGTCGGCCGGGGCGTTTGTGGAAACCATTGAATTTCGCAAGCAGTGCTGATTCCTCCGAAACTCACTGCACTCCGGGTATGAAGCGATCATCAACCAGCGGTTCCACGTCCTCACGTCCAGGTCATCCCGTGGACCACCCAAACGCTCATGTGAAAAGCCATTTCCAGCTGTCCACCCCCCATGCAGAGAGACGACATAAAAACTCCCATTTGTCGTGTACTGACTGAAGAAACGCAACGCATCAAAAAGAGACGGGCGTCGAAACGAGACAGAATGAGAGAGTGTGGTGAGCGATTGGTTGCCTTTTTGTTTGCTTATTTTGTCGGCCGCGTGAGGAAAGAGAAGAAAAGTGAGGAAAAGATGCGTCGATTGCTGATGCAAAGGATATCCGGAGACCCCAAACGCCCCTGTGTTTTTTGGTCAAGAGATTTTTTTGGAAGCTCCATCTTCTATCCGCAAAGGTGTCTGATTATGTTCTGTTCGAAGACAGCAGACTCTAAGAGCCCGTGCCAGGGTTGTCTATACGCCCATGCCCAGGTCGCTTGCTTTTGCAGATCCGAGATGTCCCACCAGTGATGAACCGTCCAAGTCGTTAATACCCAAGGGCTAAAAGAAAACCGTCGAGGCGAACAGTTTACTTTCTGCGGAAAGAGCAGCCCTCAGTGAGTCTCGCCTTACCACCGGTAGGCTGGCAGAGGACGGTGGTGCATCCCTGGCAGATGACGACGGTCTGGGCGTGGGAGAAGACGGTGGTGATGGTGAAGCAACCGGGGCACTTGACGTCCATGAAGAAGGAGCGGGGCGCGGGCACAAGGGTCTGTCCAATGTGTGAGTATCATCATGTGTGTCACCGTGTGTTCGTGGTGTGGAGGGGCAAGGTGAGGTAAGGTAGGGTAAGGTGAAGATGTCGTGAGGGTATCGTGGGTGTATCGTACCTTGAGCTTGTGCTTGCGGGCCTCGGCGGCCGGGGAGGGGTTGAGGAGATCAACGGCGAGAACCTGGGGGAGAAGCCATCAGCATGATGGTTCCTTCATCAAATGTCGCATGCGCAATCGTCGTGTCCTTCCTCCACAGCCCAGCCGTAACCATCTTTTCCTCCTCTTGCCATGATATATTTTTTTTTCGCCACTCGCGTGTTCCCAATGCGGTCGGTTTGTTCGGATTTCGTTTCGTCGTGGAGGAAGACAACATCACACGGGTGTTGCCTGGCATAAAATGCCAAAGCAGCAGGAGGGCCTTACCATCTTGACTGATCTGATCGAGAATTGATTGATCGGTTATCGGATGCGAGTGCTGTCGGGCTTGACGGGAATCTGGTGGTGTTGAGAGAGCAGATTGTAGCACTCGCAAAAGAACGGTGATGATGGGGTGGTGGAATTGTGAGCCAGAGAGGGGACCCGTCCGCCAAAAATCCTCTCTCCGAGGACCCACATTAAAAATTTAGGGGAGGACAGTGTGCCGAGGAGGGCTGGATCACGGGACTTGACGCCTACGCTCCTGCCCCGCCTATGATTGGCTGTGGAAGTACTGCTCCGACCGTCTTACCTAAGGCAAGTACACCCGCAAACAGCTTGGTGAAGGCGGGGTGCTAACGCTGGCCTGGCCGCTGGTCACCTTGAGCCGCTTCCATGTTCCATGTCATTCTTTCCAGGCAGTTGGGTACTTAGGCATCTGCGACATTAACCTGCAGCCTGAAGTCACTACCCATATCATTGATGTGTCAGTCACATCCACCAGCCTTAAACCTTTCAACCTCGGACACATAAACGCTCTCTTACCTATTTACTGCACTCACGCTTGTCGCATACAAAACACCGTCACAATGGCAGCGCCGATGGACCAAAGGATACAAGTACCAATCGATGATCCCAATGCAGACACCGAGTGGTATGTTATCTCGCGACAGCTACTCGGCGACTCCTGACACGTGCTGCCAGGAACGACATTCTCCGGAAACATGGCGTCATCCCAGAGAAGCCTCCTAGCCCGACTCCCATGATCGAAGAGGCCATCGCGGAAGGTCGCAGGTTAGCGCATGAGAACCGACTTGAGGGCAAAGATCTCGACGAGCTTGACGAGTTGGAGGATGATGAAGATGAGGCATTCCTGGAGCAATACCGTCAGCGCAGAATGCAGGAGCTCAACGAGCTTACCAAAAAGGCCCTCCACGGCACCGTCTACCCGATTTCGAAACCCGAATACTCGCGCGAGGTCACAGAGGCATCCAACAACGGCCCGGTCTTCGTCAATTTGACGTCATCACTGGGCACAAACGTCGAGTCGCGGGTTCTATCAGAGCTTTGGAAGCAGGCAGCGCAGGAATACGGAGAGGTCAAATTTTGTGAAATGCGCGCGGACAAGGCCATCGAGAACTACCCCGAACGGAACTGCCCGACGATCTTGGTCTACAAGAACGGCGACATTGCTAAGCAGGTCGTGACACTTGTGCAGATGGGAGGCGTCAAGATCAACATGCTCCAACTTGACAATCTGCTGGTCGAGGTCGGTGCTGTACCTGAGACGGATATGCGCGTGGCCAAGCGCCGGAGGCAGGCAGAGGATGAAGAGGAGGAGAGGGCTATGGGCAAAGGTATCCGACAAGGAAACGTGTCAAAGTCTAAAGGACACGACAGCGACGATGACGACTGGGACTGAGAGATGTCCTCGGGTTATCAGCGTATATGCGCCGTGATGCGCGGCAATGCCACGGATAAGATGGATGGGAAGGGATTGATACCTTGATCATCCGCAGGCTCTACAGCAGGCGCAGCTTGAATCAATACGCGACCTGCGTCGCCACATTTACGAAGTCATGGCACTTCTAGGCCTCGCCTGTACCTGTCTCATGCACTGAGGTATTATGCTCTTCAGAACGAGGACTTGCCTTGATAGAGATGGTCAGGCCAAACGTTAATGGGGAAACTGACGGTTGGCAAAAACTTCAACTTGATCGCCATGCGACCTAGGAAGCCTTCTGGCGAAAGTGAAAAGCAATGCGGAATGAGGGGAGAGTGCCTTGGGCAGCTGGTGCTGAAGTGTCAACATATGACGAGGGGCTAATCTTGGTTCCTGGATTTCGTGCATCTGATGCCCCGCGTGTTACCGCTGCGGAGACCCTGAAGGCTGAAGATAACGGCTATCGATTGGCCTGTGCATGGGTGGGGTCCAGGGTGTTCCTGACTCCCGGGGAAAGGCAGAGGCTAGGCTGCTTTGGGATAAGGGCTTTGAGTTCGGGGGAGGGCCAGTGGGCAAGTGTTGGTCGCGTCAAGACGTAAACAATGCCCTCTTCATGGCTTTTCGAGAGACTAAATAAGTTGGATAAATCCGAGATCTTTGCAGCTTGCACTTTGACAGCTTCTAGAACTCAGTACAAGGGTGGTCGGAGCTATCTTCGGAGATCGTGTGAGCGGAATACCCCTGTGGGACTTGACCCTGGCCGAACGCGTTCGAGCCCCCACCTGCGTCACGACACGCGCTGTCCCACTCGCGGGCGAGGGTCGTGGTGGCGGGCCTCGGACGGGAGCTTCCCAATCTCTTGGTGCCGGCTGCACCTCTCACACATTTCACACTCGTCTCTCTTACATCTCCTTTCCAACTTTCGCCATGGCCGACGAACCCAGTCTTCCCAGCTTGGTCCCATCCATCTCATGGAATGCCCAAACCCAAAGTTTTAGCAACAATCCGAGAAAGCGGAGGTACAACTTTAAAAGCCACTCTGTCGCGCCGCCGTCATGGTCCAACTCTAGTGACCCTGCCGTCTTTTCCAGCGATGACGACCCAGGTCTGGACAACTATGTCGAGGGACGACGAAAGAAGAAGAAGTATGTAGGCTCTTGGTTCCACCAGCAGCCTGCATCTTCTGATTCTGCCACTGGGGAGCCGCGGCCGGCGCTGAGGGGCAAGCGAACCTTGAAGCGCGACCTGGACAGTGGTGTCTGGATGGGCAGCGACAGCACGGATGGCGACGAGAGCGTGATGATGCCTGATCTGCCGACGCAGTCGAAGCTACCTCAGCTCGACCGGGTAATGGCTCGGCGGCGCCATGTCATCTCGGCCGAGGAACTGGAAGCGCGGGAGAGGGTACAGCAATGTCTGGACTCTGGAACCGAGTACATTGATTTATCGTGAGTGTGCGATCCAACTGCAGAGACCCGAATAGGTCTGACCGAAATAGAATGATGGGACTCAAGACTCTCACCGATGCTACCATTCGCCCCCTATCCGAATTCTCCTGCATTCCCGTTGTTGCCGAAGGAGTGCCGTTTGAGCAGAAGGATCCTGCTTTGCAGCTGTACTTGTACCGCAACCCTCTGCAGCGGCTACCGGGGGCTATATTCGACCTTGAGCACCTAACAGTGCTTTCGCTCCGCGGATGCCGACTACGGGAGCTGCCCCCTGCGATTGGGAAGATGCGAAGTCTTCGCACCCTGAACCTTGCCCAGAACCTGCTTAGATACCTCCCGGCCGAGCTTTTGGAGCTTATGGCAGCTCCCTCTGCCTTGGAAGAGTTGCTTCTACAGGGCAACCACTTTTTCCAGGCGGCCGAGCGACCCGCGCTGGCTGACTTGGAAAGTCTTGAGAACGATGCTTCGGGAGGTTCGAAACTGGCCGAGGTGTGGAGGCCTGGCTTCGATGGTGTTGCGGGCAGGTTCTTTGTGCGATCACCGGTCCACTATCTCGATAGCTCGGGCTTCTCGCACTCTGAGTTCCGCCTTGACCCTGAGGGAGTTATCGTACACACTGAGCGGCTGGACGACGCGAGAGACAGCACATCACTCATCTCCCCACCGTCATCAGCACCCTATCACTCCAAGTCCGCTGGAAGAAGCGTCCCGAGTGCAAAGGGTAGCCGCGTTCCTAGTCTGATGGAATTGGCTTTGCGCAGCGCTTACAAGAGCTCCGATCTTGGCGACCTGCCCGACTACATCCCCGATTCGCTGCCTCACTTGCAAGCCCTCCTTGAGCGTGCTGCCGACCAGCGTGAAGTCGGCGGGCTTACTTGTTCTGCGTGCAAGAAGCCCTTCGTGGCACCCACAACACAGTGGTTGGAGTGGTGGCAGGTGTGCCTTGTTGAGAGCAGGCAAACGCAAGAAGGCCACGTCGTCAAGGCCCGTCCATGGACGGACCTCGATGAAGAGAACGAGGGGGCTGTTCCGTTTTTGAGGAGAGGATGCTCGTGGAAATGTGGCCCTGCCAGTCTGGAGGAGGGAGAGTGGACGATTGCTCCTGCTAGCCAGGCAGAGTGAGGGCTGGGAAATGAAAAATTGTTCGGGGGCATCTGTTACATGGCGCTTGTTATTGGCACGGAGTTGGAGGCAGACTGATTTTGTGTGTTTGAACCCTTCTGTTCAGGTTCCAGGTTGCGTTGTTCGATATCCAGTTTCCTTAGCTGAAGCTCGTTCCAACCCCTTTGCAAATTGTCCCCTTGTTATACCATTCTACCGCAGGCAATATCTCCGACGCCACCCATCTTGCCGTCTGAGCATGCAAGCTGCCGTATCCGAATGGCTTATCCGTCTTATCCTTCTTCATCCTCTCCCCTAGATTCAACTGCGCCATATCTTGACTTGCGACCTCCACGTCATCATCACTGCCACTTTTCGGCGCAGCAGCACGCGGGAACGATGTCGTTCCCTCCGCCAAAGCCTGGAAGATGATGAGCTGATCCTGTAAGAACTTGTCCACCGTCGAGCCCGGTATCAATAGTTCATCAGATAGACCGCAAACGACCGCGCGGCTGGTGGTCCACGCAAAGTCCTCAAGCTCATGCCCTTGTTGTCTACGCCGGCTCTGCTTCGGAGACGCGGACTCGTCGCAGCCCCAACGTAACATCCCAGAGGCGTCCTTGGCTACCAGGAGGGTATACATCTGCTTGTCGTTGCCCGAGTCCTCGACGTGCTTGTATGCTAGCTCTGCGTGGGGGAAAGCTCCGGCGATTTCCTCTGTCAGTATTTTTTGGAGAATGGCCTGCTGGTATGAAGGGACGATCATTGTGACGTCTATGGAGTGTACTATTTTACGACGTTCTGAGGGGGTACCGTCGTATGGGTTCTCTATGGGAGATAGCTGACGCAGCGGCTGGCCTGGTCGCAGAGGGTAAATCGTGAGCACGATGGAGCCCCTGCTCTGCGGTCCTTTACTCCATCCGCGGTGAACTAGTTTCCGCTCGACGCTTACACCTTCAAACGAAGATTCTAGGCGCGGAAGGAGGACTTGGTCTAGGTACTCGTACGAGAGCGAGAAGTCTACGTTTGTCCCGCCTTGTATTTGGAGCTCGATGGGCTTAGCATCGTCTCCGCCTGCGAAGAGAAGGAATGGGAGGATGGCCTGAAGAATCAAGAGCGTGCTCGCCGCGCTCGTGTCCGGTACGATCTTGATCTTACGGGACTTTTTGACTAGAGCAGCGGAGGGAGGGAGACGGGGGATGAATGTTAGGGTGCTGCTGCCTACGGAGAGGCCTTCTACTTCTGCGTCTGTTGCTTCTGCTAGCCACCGGATTGCGGTGACGTGTTGTGCTTTGAGACCTATGTTTGTTGTCGTTAGTTACGACGAAGGGCGGTGTATAAATGAACGCGTAGTGCTCACCGCCTCCTTTGCTACTACTGCTGTCACCTTTCTTACTCCTCCCACTTCCACCTCCGCCACGCGAAGGACGATTCCCTCTTACGTTTGTGATGCGTACTGGTTGGGTGGTGACTGCTGCGAGGGCTATGGCGACGCGGACTAATTGTCCGCCTCCTTCGCCGGTCCGCCCGTCAATTTCGATAGGCTTACGGGACATATTATTTCCAGATTCGAAATGATTGAGTATGTCGTATATGGTGATAATTGAAACTTTGGTTCACGGGGGTAAGCGATGCTAGGTAGTGATTGGATGCAAGTCCGAGACCTAGCGGAACGTCCGTCTTACTTATAGCGAAGTCGCCGGCGCAGGTGAGAATTGGCTGCTTTAGTTGCTGAAGATGGATGTTTTAATGAGCATTCAGGAGGAAGATGTTGAAGTACCCATATAAATAAAGCATATTCAGCTTTGACTTTGGATGCCATTTTGACTCACACGCCGAATGTTGGTTAGGTCGCTAGCCTTTGAGCCTACTCGAGCGGCTAATTACAACCGAAATGTCCTTTCGTTCGCGGATGAGTAATTAGGCATCAGCTTTTGATTCTAAATGACCAAATCCTTCGTGTGATGGAAAGGACCATTTCGCATTCGTCTGTAAACTGCGCCTCCAAGGAGTGGCATGGCCATGTAAAAGTGAAGCCACACTTGCGTGCTCATTGCCAGATACATAAGCAGACCGAATTCCTGGTTCTCTTTCACCAGTCTCTCATTATCCAACCGTTCGGTGCATTGTTCCCCCTTCCTAGCGTTTGCTCCTTCCTAGTGGTGTGATGTATGGCACCTGCCGCAAACAGAAGATCCGGAAGAATTTGAGTTTCGGCAAGACCCGCTTCATTCGGCGCCGCTTTGACCTTACCGGAGATCATTTCAACCTCACCCCTTCGCTTCCACCTTGAGGCCTCCAGAAAGGGACTTGTTGATGTTGCCATCTTCGAATACGAATGCTGGCGATATAATGCGCGATATTCTCTCCGCGAGGCGACTTTTCAGCACAGCAATGCTTTGCCCCGGCGCACAAGGGAGATCTTTGCTGCAGAGACAGGGGTCTTCCAGGACTGAGGGACCAATCACCACCGCGTGATGGACAGAGTGCACTGCATTTCAGGGTTCTACCAGCAGCCGACAGTCCCGATCATAAGGCGCAGCTGGGACGCTGTGAAGGCCGAGACCCCGAAGTCGTTTGCCGCCACGGGGTACAGCCTCAAATCAGTTGTGGCACTCGCATCCCAATGCTGCCGCCGCCGAGTCATGCCGAGGACGACGTCGGCCATCTGAGTCGTCGGAGCGAAGAACGGAGAGCGGAGGCGAATTTTTTTTCTTCTGAAGAGATAGAGGCAAACACTCGGATGATTTGGAAGAGGGCGGACAGCCACCCTTATAAGTTAAGGATCTCCTTGCTGTCTGCCTAGGGACTGTCAGATTGTGATTCGATCAGAGACGACCAGCAAAACACCTCTGGACAAGCCCACTTACTAGCAACCAGTGAAATCCAAGGCAGCCTAGCACGGCATACCGATTTTAGGTTTCAACACGGCAGAAAGCCGCAGAAAGCGCCGCTTGTTTGAGTCATTCTTTTGACTACATGCCATGGAGTCGTGAGAGTATAAAGACCCGATCTGCCTCACAAGTGGATGATGCCCTGGACGCTTTGCAGTAGTGTAAAGCAAGATATGTTATACAAGTTCTATTGAATTATCAACTACAAGTCGAAAGCAAACGATGTCGATGAATAGCAGAACAAGGATACGACCTGGCAACCCGAATATCAACGTAAGTCAAACCTGTCGAGGCATTTCCTTCTATTACTCCTCTCCCTTACTCTTTGGCTTCGGATCTATGATGCCACTCAAGAGCGAATACAGTCTGCGCCGAGCTATCTTTTTTCTTTTTCTTTTCTCTTTTTCTTCTTTTTTGTTATTCTTCTCAGTGGCCCTCGCAGACCATTACCGTTCTTGGAAGGGTGGAAAGTCTATGACAAAGGAAACGCTCTATCATCAACACAAGCAAGTCATCGACGTCGTAAACTGAGACTAGTCTGTGTGGGCAGCTTTGAGTGTAGCTGATCTCAAGCACAACTAATACACGACAAATCAGCAGAGACATCGACAAGTGTCGAACGATGATGCGTACCTAGGCAACCTTGGCACAGAGCCGGCCCTATTTATGACGACGAGACGAAGAGGAATGATGCTTGCTTCCAGAGGCCGATGAACCTCCGCGTCTGTCATCCTTTCTGCTTTGACTTTGGCTTTGGCTCTGGCTTTGGCTTGGAGGGAAGTCGATGTCAAGGTTGGGGGCGTATGTGGATGTAGAGTGATACGGCTGGGTCGTCGTCGATGGCTGACCTTGAAATCTCTGGTCGAAGTTGGTGAGCTCCAGTTGGTAGTTGGTCCGATACGCTGAAGGAGGTTGCGTGGTGCCCGGATGGCCTTGAGCGTATTCAGCGCGTTGGCGACGACTGGAAGCCACCTCTATGGCCCTGGGATCGTTGTACGGCATTCCGCTATTCTTTTGTCAGGACAACCCACCGAGACAAGTCATTGCTAGGACCAACGTACCCTTGGCTTCCTGATGTACTGTTCCACGAAGGCTGACTCGAGTTATCGGTGTAGTAGGGCTGCATCGTCGAGGTCGACGAGGAGGACTGATAGGCGTATTGTTGCGGGGTGGTTGCCGGCCCGTCGTTATACTGCGCGGTCACGTATGCTTGACCTTGGTTATATAACGATGGAGTCGGGACCGTTGTGGTCTTCCTTGATGACTTCCGGTGGGGGTCTGAAGATCTATGGCTGCTCATCTTGATGACAGTTGAATGCGTCTGGGTGCGTCTGGATGTGTTTGGATGCTTGAGGAAAGTATTGAGAAAATCTGCTTGGTGATTGTTTTGCGGACCTCAGTTCAAGGTTGGTCTGAAGAAGGACGTTTCTGTCTTTATACAGATGTGCGAACGAAGAGTCACTCTTGACTCCCCAGGCAGCAACAGCACCAGCCCAGTGGCATATTCAAATAAGGTGCGCACTAGTGGCCAGCAGAGCTCAAGGTAGGTAGACGTTTAATCCACTTCCGAAGTTCCGCTAAGACGCCTCGCAGGACAGGATGTACTGGATGCCCGTGGTCCTAGGCCCCGTGCTACCCCTGTCGACGGTCTCCGGTACCCTGGCGATGACTTCGATCCCCCCCGCCCCCTAGTCGCAGCGTTTCACTAGCGAACTTGGGTTTGTTGATGCCACAGCTGACTCGTTGAAGGTTTGATGGGGGATGTATGACCACTGATGGCAAGCAGGGACAAGAGTAAAGGACGCGGAAGCTTGTCGCTAGAGTGGGGACGAACTTGGGCCGCCTTGGTTCGCAGAGCGGTGCGCCTTACTCTTAGGTAACGCCGCTATGGTGCCGTCGACGCTGGTAGAGTCGAGGTTAGCCTTTAGGCAACAAACGTCTGCCATCAAGGAGCACTCAAAACTCAGGATACCTAGGGAAAGAAAGAAGAGGAAGCGAGACGGTGTCATGCCATGGTCATGGGGCGGAGCACTGGCTGTGTGTGTATGCCCTAAGCTATTGCGGTGAAGCTTTGCTGCTTCGGTCAACGTCTTTTGGGCTGATGCTGATGGACAAGCGCAAGCTCACACTGCCACCCAGTTCCCTAGACGGTTCACCCTGGGAGTGACCGGACGGGCACGTTGGGGGCTAGTCAGCCCAAGAATCAGCCCGGGTCAACAAGCCACCCTTGGGTTCTGTGGCAGAGCCGAAAGTTGAGGATGTCAAGCCGCATTGGAAATGTCAGGGTGGCAAAATGACGATGAAGGCCTGGGGAAAAGGAGGCAGTGGCATCAGTGCTTCTTTATGTTTTGAAAGATCCAATATCTGTCCAACGCAGCGTCATCTTACTCAGGGAAGCCCATAAGCGGGGTCGGGTTGCTGAAATTCCAGAGAGGTTGGAGTGCGTGACCCAACCTGGAACACGCAGCACTACGCCCGCAAAAGCCCGGCAGCTCGCCAAGCTGCAGAAACATCCCCTCGAGTTCGACCATTCTTCGAAATCAGCGGGTCTATTCATCTCATAGAAATGCGCCGTTGGACACCGATAGACGAGACTGTCAGAGTTCAAAAATCGACCCTCGAGGCACACAGCTGCTGTGTTGGGAACTTGGGCGTTTTCCAGCTTTCGCCGAGCTCTCTGATAAGCCGACTGTGAGGGGGGAGAGCACTCCCTTGGGAGACACTGAGAGACACTGGCAGAGCCTGCCTGTCTGCGCATAGATTGCTGACAACCAACATGGAGCAGGTATGCAGCTGCCCCTCTTTGGGAATCGAGATACATCCTTACTGTGTCACTGAGTCAACCTTGGACAACGGCGCCGGCTGTGTGCGCAGCATCAGCCACAAGCGCAAAGAATACGAGATCTTGCGTTGTCACATTGCGAAAGGTTGACAGAATGGATAGGGCCTTCGACGGTTTATGCCTACGGACACGGAGCGCGGGTGGCAGCTAGCTCTCTCCACATCACCTACGAGCCCCCGAGCCGTGTGAGTCTGGCCGGTTGGAGAAGCCTACGGAGTACGGAATTTGATTCTTCGCAGTGTGGGAGTGGGCGTTCTGCTACATGGGAATGCTGCGCTGCCCCGCTCACACATTGCTTTCCCCCCCGTGCCCCCAAGCTGGCCAGCATGCCTTGCAGAAAGACTCGCAGTCACCAGTATCACGTCGCACGGGGAGGCGTGATCTACCGTCAAGTCGGTCTGCGCCAACAAGCAAGTTCGCAGTTGAGCTACATCACCGCATTAAGCCATGAAGGTTCTTGCAGAATCCCGATCAGGCGTTCGCAGTTCTCGAGCTGGATATAGCCATTCTGTGCGGTGGAAGATCCGAGCAATCTCATTGGTTGTGCAAGCGCCCTTCATCATCATCATCAGCAGCAGCAGCAGCAACCGGCAGCAGTAGGCTCTGGTATCAATTCTCTTTCTTTTAGGATGAAAAAGCCTACGTGCAACTGGGAAAGCCATTGAGCTGTGGTACGTGCTGACTGAGCACATCCATCTTAGTCCAAAAAGATTTGGGGTAAGTAACACGCTCTGTCCCAACCTGGAAGTCTGGCTTCACCTTAATGCCATTAAGCCTACTTCTTACCCTTGCCTCAGGCACAATTCTCATGCAATGCTTTCACACACACACACCTCAAGCATCAATGAAGGCAGGTCTCATCTGATGAATTGGGCCTCGAAGTTGACGCTCAGATTGTTTGATCTTTTTGTTCGAATGAGTGAAAGCTACCGCAGGCTAAGGAGGAAAAGACAATGTTATCAATCGAACGCACGTGGATTCCCGATCCGTCTCATTCGAGAGCTGTCCCACCTAAGTTTCGTTGGCTCTTGTAGCAACATAACTCTCATTAACGCATGCTCGTCGGCAGCCAACGTTACACAAGCTCACGTCATCACGATCACGATCACGATAATCGGAGGATCTTATCTTTCACCCCACTTATCGTAAAAGTCTAAAACCCCAAAAGCGCGACGCGTTGAGAGCACTTTAACACATCACGCCATGACCAGTTAAAAGATTAGCGAAATGAGACCATGGAGCAATCTGTGGACCCGATAGCACAAGAAGGTATCCACAACATCAGGGATCTGAGTCGGAAGCTTGAGTGAAACATTGATAAGGAAAATTTCCGCCTCCTGGCGCGAAGCTACCGACACTGTTATCATCTCATCCACAGTAGCTAGCTGTCTTCCTCTCCGTTCTACCTTCGATTCCGCAAAGATACACGTTATTGCCGTCACGATGTCTTCCACTGCCTTCGTTCAGCGCCCTGCTCCTGCCTTCAAGGCCACCACCGTCTTCCCCGGCGGCGAGTTCAAGGACATCCAGCTGTCCGACTACCTAGGACAATGGTATGTCGATTCACGCTGAACTAGCCCTAGCGAAAACGGCGCGCCGAAAATGAGACAACCTAAAGCTAACTCAAAATTCTTTTTTTTCCTTCCAGGGTCGTCCTCCTCTTCTACCCCCTTGATTTCACCTTCGTCTGCCCGACCGAGATCATCCAGTACAACGACGCGCTGCCCCGTTTTAGCGCCATCAACACCACCGTCCTCGGCGTCTCGACCGACTCCCACTTCTCTCACCTGGCCTGGACCGAGAAGCCCCGCAAGCAGGGCGGCCTCGGCTCCGACCTCCAGCTGCCCCTCGTCGCCGACAAGTCCCACAAGATCTCGCGCGATTACGGCGTCCTAATCGAGGAGGAGGGTGTCGCTCTCCGCGGTCTCTTCATCATCGACCCCAAGGGTATCCTCCGCCAGATCACCGTCAACGACCTGCCCGTCGGCCGCAATGTCGAGGAGACTATCCGTCTTGTTGAGGCTTTCCAGTTCACCGACGAGCATGGTGAGGTCTGCCCCGCCGGATGGATGAACGGCAGCAAGGGTATGAAGGCCGATCCTAAGGGAAGCCTCGAGTACTTCGCGGCTCAGGGCGAGACCAACGGCACCAACGGCCACACCAACGGCAACGGCCAGAAGAGAGCGAGAGTCGAATAAATACCCTTCTGAGTGAGGGCGGCGAACAACGGTACGAGTGTATAGACTATAGATGTAGAAACTAGACTTGTAGAACACCAGAACTGCTATGCCAGATGTAGAAAAAAAGTATCACGCTGGTTGAATCAACCTACAGCATTTCAACCCCAAGTTTCCTGGTCGACATTGGCCGTTTGACGTGATGTCATGTCGGAGATTAATGTAAGCTAAGCTGGTTCAAGGTCAGGGTCAAGAGAGGGCATGTGTCGGTCTGGACCCACCAGTGACATCCCAAGTACATATGTCCCAATCAAGGGCAGTGCTCTGTGTAAAGTCTTATACTAGATTGACTAGAATTACAAAGAAGAAGACAGGAATGCTATGCTGCGCATGTGAAACACACTAGTGTAAAGGAAAGAGTTGTACAGACATAAGGAGATCCTATTTAAGGTACTGTACAGAAATAAGGGAACACCAAGAAGTCTAAAGCCACCAGAACTACAGAGAAGAAAGTACCGTAACCGCTTGTACGCTTCTGTAACGCTTTACTATGCGCGACGTCCATCGCCTATTTGCTATTGTAGAATGGCTTGAGAGTCTCGTCAATCTTTTTCTTGGTGTTGCTCTTATGTTTAGTCCGAGTGGATCGACCGCCTTCCCGTAGTTCCTCCCGGTGTCTTCGTTCTTTCTCTTGCTTCTTGACATACTTGGCAGTCTCCTTTGATCCACCTTCAGTAGATGAGGAGGTCACAGCGAGGCCGTCGTCAGTATAGTCTCCATGGAAGCTACGATTAAGTATGAGTTAGTTCCACATCATGTATGCCTCAAGGGTGACAATGGTGAATACCTTCCAGCTTCCGCCGTGTTGTCCGCATACTGGTGATAGATGGGGCGTTGCTCAGCATATTGGGCTTGATGGTATTGCTGAGTTGATGCCGGGGTTGTATTCGAGTAGGATGATTCTGTATAGAGATACCAGTTTCCATCGCTTGCTTTGTACCACTGTCCTCCTTCGGCGCCGTATTGGGTGGAAGCTGACATGGTTCCTTGATAATGGAAGCAAGAAAAAGGACCGGGTGTAGTTATTGAATATAGGAGCTGATCGATAAATATTGTAAGGATTTGCGTTGAAGTAACGATGAGCGAAATATCGGCATGTCGTCGCCGGACGATGCGTCCCGTCATATTTATAGTTCGGCCAGTGACACCAAGCTCGATGTGTGTTCGTGGGACCGTGACAACCTTGGGCGCCTTGCCTACACATCACGAGAATATTTGGAGCCTTCCCGGACGTGGGTAATCGTACTGAGCTTCGACATCGAATCGATAAAGCAAGGCCAAAGGCCGTTGCCATGGATGGAGGATAGTGTCGTTTGAAGTTAGGGATAACCCTGGCCCACTGTCGGTGAAGGATGTCGTCAAGCTTTCTCGAATCGAATGTGTCATGGAGGAGCGACCTCCACAGGCCCTTGATAGGTCAGTTTCTTGGAAAATGCAAAGCAAAGAGCAACATAGAACCACGGAACAGGGGGCTTACCGGCGCTTGGAGGTCGATCGACAGCTTCGTCTTCAGGTGCACTGACAGCACTGCCGAGGCAGACTGCTGCGGCCTTTGGACATGGTATCGCTTGCTAGGGGAACCATAGCCCCTGACCAAATCACTCTGCTGGAGGCGAGACTGTCTTTCTGTTGCACCAGAACAGACGAGTATTCACCGGCTCGCTGATATTTGTGGACCACAAGGTTGCCTGCGCTGCCGTGACGCTGGAGGAAGGTCCACAGCCACAGCCGAAACTTGAACGCAGTTCTGTGCCGCAGATGAAAGAGCTGTGTAAGTTGTCCATGCTGGCGCTTTCGAGGGTATAGCAGAATCGGAGAAGAATAACGGCCACTACCGGGGGTGTTCACTGCAAAAGATCCACCGAGTCCCCGTGGGTCGTGATACCCTCGACGCCGAGCCGTTGCGGAGAATGGAGAGTCGGGGAGGCCGAAGGTGAACCTGGAAAGATAATATGGCACAAGCTGGGGCCGTTGGGGTCTAATATCTCAGAACAGCATGGATTCAGTAAGCTCTGCAGCCGGCGACCTGGCTGTCGGGATACAAAAGAGACGATCCTGCGGCAGGCTGTGGAGGGATCTGGGTTGGCGCCCATCCTACGGAAGGTTTGCTCCCTGTTGATGCTGCAACGGGCGGCTGGTAAACCCGCCTTTGGGTAGTCTTCCAGACAAGGAAGTTGTAATTGGGAAGTCTTGAAACAGAGTTATCATCCACGGCTGCCATTCTTTGCGCCGGAAATAATCAACTGAGAATACTGATCCGAGTTGGTGTCGGCAAGATGACCAGGAGAAGGGTTGGACTTGGCCATGGATGATGGAGGCACAGCAGATGCAGACGGCACAGTAAAGCCGTCTTGACTGACTGACAATTACCTCAAATCGCCTGACATGTCGGTGCAGTTGGAAGGAAGGCAATTATTCGTTAGGTGCATCTTTACCTTCTCTCATCAAGCCTCCGGCCAGAGCAACAATAACTCGGCTCTCGCAAAAGTTGTTATTCCCCGCATTGTAGAGACATGTTTCTCAACGACAGCCGTTCGCGTTGGAGCTGTCGATCTAGCTCACCTCAGCGTTCCAGCGCCACAGATGCTTCAGCTATCTGCAAGATTTCGGAGATCCTTACCTCTGTCGGCGGACTGGCGTTCTCGATCGGTAGACCGATGTGACATAACCGGAGAGATTGAAGTCGAGGCAGCGCTTAGAGTCAATCATTAATCCCGGAAAGCCCCAGTGCCATGCCATCGGATTCCTTTCTCCAGAATGTTTCAAGATCAACGAGGGTGGCTTTTGTCCGTGGGTCGGATACTTTTTTACGACTTTCCTCTTCGGCTGCGATGTCTAAATCCCATGTTTTTCCATGGAAAACGGGCCGGATGGTATCAAGGGAGCAACGGGCCGACCGCTGCTAATTGTTGCGTGCCGAAATGAATTGTGGAATAGACGCAGGCAAAGCAGATCAATCACATTTATTGATTTCTTTTTGCACACAGCTGAGCTCCAGCGACCGGGAAAATTGGGGTCTGTCTCAGTCGATGCAACCCTCATTATGTGCAGTGGTGGTGTTCCCGAGCTTCCAACAAGCGAGAAACCACTGCACCCAGGCTTCGTTCTGGCTTCATTCTCTAGCCTACAGCTCCAAGGTGTGCCGAGACGTGCCAGCCCACTCGTCAAGTGGTGGTGGCCCAAGATGACCTGCGTGGATTTCTATGATGGGGAAGTGAGTTAGGCAGGTAGTTGATATCGTATTCCATTGATTTTGATCGTTACACTATCAGGCTCAAGTCTGGTGCATCTATCAGAAGAGGAGTCTCCAGTCGCAGAGTCTCGCCTTCCCAGACAAGGTGTCCTCAGCACACCAATCCATTATTATGAGCCTCCCCTGAGAATCCAGAGTCACGTTGCATTCCAGAAACCACGTATCCCCCATTCGAATACCCAACGCCTCCACTTCCTCTCCTCCGTACGTAGAGGGTAAGACGGCAGCAAAGATCATGAGCCATGAGAATACGACTAAGACCTTCAGCGGAGTCCATGTCCTAATCGAAATAGTCATGTTCTGTGGCTGCAAGTCAGTACATGTACGTAGGCCAAGATGTGAGCTCGCCTCTATTTTGTTTCTCCTTGCCGGAGCCCAGTGGAATATTACCTGCGTGGCCCAAGTGGTCTCAGCCTGGTTTGATGCGCCGCATCAGCGACCCCCTTTCGCGAAGTCTCCCTTGTTTCCCCCAGTCAACTGTTGAGATTTGGTGTCCTCCGATGGCTTGAGAGGTTGCAAAAGAGAATCCAACCCAGGTATGGCGCTCAGCGCGCTTGCAGCCGCAGTCTTTCCTTCCATCCTGGCCTGCTTGCCAGAGGTGCTTCGATCTGCAAGCCTCTCATGCGCGCTCTGCACGGCATCCACAAAGTCTGTGAGTGAACGTGTAGGATGCCACATTTCTGCAGACCCATGCCTGATATGGCTTGAATGGCCATCCACAATGATATTCATAGATGATCTGAAAGTGTTTTAGACAAGCACATTCAGACAAAGAAGTAGGCAATACCCACGCTGCGGATCCATCTTGGGCCCCGGTACAGCTACCAGCGCTGAGTGGATGGCCTTGCAAGGCTGGAGTGGAATGACGAGTGCTCACCATCTTCACCGCTAGATGTTCGAGCTTCCTGATGGTGGGTGAGCAAGACTTGGGGTCCAAGGAAGAAAGCCACCTTGGATGAATGGGTGTGAAGGGGATTTTGTAGAGCCCACTGTATCCAGTATGCAACCTATCGCTCTCCTCAAGAAATCAGGCCTGCTCCCCCCAACTGGAAAGCTCAAATGACCACCTGATGTTTGAGGGGTGGAACGCCCGCCCCCATTTTGTAACTGAACTGCTCGAAGTCAGAGTGTCTATAGGCATGGAGCAGTCACTATGTGCATTATGCTAGGAAGGTACCCCGGAAGAAAGTAGCTTGAGCCCCTGAGGAAGTCGTGGAGAGCAGCATGTGGACCCGAATGAGTACGCCAGAAGCCTTCAAATAGAAAGTTCCTGTCGACCACCCTGATACAAGACTGCTCCCCTGCCACTGTGAGGTAGGCGTCGAGCTAGTGTCGAAGTTGGAAGGGCGAGGCGATGTCGAGGAATACGAAAGTTGCCTTATCTTGGTAATCTGGTATAGGGGTCCTTGTATTGGACGAGAATGAAGTGGAAGTACACCATTTTTGGTACTGATCCTTATTATACATACAGACAGAGACCTCACCGCTCCCCGGGGTGTCGACATCTTATAATCTTACCCTCTGAGTTGTAAATAGTAAGACACCACGGTCGTTCGGAGGTGCGGTCATGAATATGAGTCGTCCATAACGTAGGAAGCCCCATTCTCCTGCTTCATCCTAAGCCCCTTTGAGGGTCTCGAAGGAATGTTGAGCACCTCTTCACACTGCCTGCACATCACGGACGCCCTTCCAGCCAACCTGACTGCCCACCTTCACCGAAATTCTTTGACTATTCAAACACCTTCCTGAGCTGGCGTTGCCGTGCTTCTCACAGCACCAAGAGCAAGGCTGCCTAGCCCCCTGAGGATACCTGTTGAGCATTTGGATTGGCATTGCGTGTGATAAAAACGAGGCGAACTCTTCCTCTCTGGTACGCCTGGATAGAGCAGTGGGCAGAGGACCTGGGAGCGCCGGTGAGTGAAGGCTCTCTAGGAGGGGTGTCGCTATCTCCGGGTCCTTATAACGGCTGGATACACCCTTGGGTCACTAAGTACCTAGTTACAATGCAGCTTTCAAGCGCTAGTCTGACCTGGATACCAAGTCACGAGAGGTTGAAGAATGATGTCACTTTGCGAACCAAAATGACTGATGATACAAACGTAACCAGTTTCTGTGGTGTGATAAAATATGCTACAACACTCAGTAAAAGATATAAGGAACGTGTGCCTCCGATTTCCTGTAAAATACGAAGGAAAATGCCTATAGTAATATCAAAACGCTGCCTGACATACTGCAATTACCGCCAAAATTCAAATATTCACATCATTCACACAAACAACTCCAATGGTATCTGGATTTCAGGAGATATATTGCTCGTGACATTTGATCGATGAAATGTAGAAAGCTACTCTTTCTGTTTCACGAAATGACAGCCAACTTGTTAAACACATGTAGTCGAGTTGACCAAACTGTTTCCGGACTTTACGAGATTGGATCCATCCATTGAAACCCTAATGAAGGAGCTTTATCCAGATCATCTCCAAGTGACCATCATTTGGCTTGACTGACATCTAAGGAGTGACCTTGATGACATCGCCAGGGCGCATAGCACTTCCGAGGTTGTAGCGAGTGTCGTGGGTGTACTGTCTAAGAGGGAAACCACCGCCAATCGGGTCGTCAAAGGCGAGCGGGATGCTGCCAGGAGCCGGAGTCGTGCCGTCAATGGTCCAGTAGAAGACGACGTGGTTGACAGCCAGGTCGTAGAAGAGGTGAAGCAAAATAACGGCGC